ATAGTACGTGTGAACACTTATAACACTATAGCTTCTCATACTTTCAGTACCTGGTTTCCAAGCTGCCAAGTCTCTTGAACAGAGAAAGTGAGTGAAGTTTGAAGCCAGATGAAAGATGCGAAGAGATTATTCGCTTTTCAACTCTGTTATTTACAATTCCTATATTTCTCTTAAGGATCCAGAAAGGGAAGTGTCTGACTAAAAGAACATTTTGCTTAGAACTGATACTTTGGCATTTGGTAATACTCACTTTTCTTGCGTTTTATTTTTTTAGATGGAGTCTCGCTCTGTTGCCCAGAATGGAGTGCAGTGGCGTGATCTTGGCTCACTGCAACCTCTGCCTCCTCGACTCAAGTGATTCTCCTGAGTCAGCCTCTGGAGTAGCTGGGACTTCAGACATGGGACACCATGCCCGGCTAATTTTTGTATTTTCAGTAGAGACAGGTTTCTCCACGTTGGTCAGGCTAGTCTCAAACTCCTGACTTCAGGTGATCCACTTGCCTTGGCCTCCCAAAGTGCTGGGATTACAGGAGTGAGCCACTGTGTCTGGTCAGTAAGACTTATCTCAACACATTTTTTGTTGCTGTTATTTTTGGCACAGACTTTTTTTTGTTTATTATTTTTATTTTTTTTATCTTTGGAATCACAAATGTCTCTTTAACTTTGAAGTGTTTTCCTTTATATCTGGAAGATGGGGGCTCAGTGAGGTATCTGTGTTGGTGGAGATGTCTACATTGGAAGGCAAGTTGGGAAGAGTAATGCAGAACATGGAGAAGGCTACTTTGGGAAGTTGTGGGGGTTCAAATGATATATTTTCCGCTGTTGAGAAGTCTGGTTAGCTTTGGCGTTTGAGAACATCACTCTGGGAATGTGCGTGTGTCTTGTGTGGGAGCAAGAAGGAGGCCACACCAGTGGGATTAAAAAGAGGCTTTGAATTGTACCCCCACCACTCCACCAGAATTATTAGGAACTCTGTTCCCAGATATCCACTCAACCCTCGTTGGCAGGATCCCTGGGAGGCTCAGTTGTCCTTCTGGAAGCCAGTAAAATTCTTTGTTGGTGGTTGTGGAGGCCAGCGTCTGATCAGCTGCTCGGTAGCGATAGCTGTTGCTTCTGTTGCCCTGGCTGCTGGACTTGGAGGCTTCCTGATTGCTAGTGACCCGGCCTGCCTGGTTGCGCCCCGTCCCTGCTGGGGCTGGTTTATGTGGCTCTGATGGTTATACATGCTGATGTCACTCCTCTCCTATGTGTTCCTCAAGTGCTCTTCCCAGTGGAGCCAGGAGAACCTTACTGTTCTTTCTTTAATTCCCAGAATGGCCTCACGCTGTTTCTTGCAGCGCCCCCTAGTGTTGGCACACTTTCATTCACTTGTCTTTTTCATCTGTCTCTTGGCTCAAGTTCCTACAGATCAGGAATCACATAGGACTATCCCATTTAGCAAATAAAAATAGAGAATGTCCAGTTAAATTTGAGTTTCAGATAAATAATGAAGAATTTTTTAGCATAAATATGTCTCAAATGTTGCATGGGACATACTTATACTAAAACATTCTTCATTGGTTATCTAAAATTCAAATTGAATTGGGTGTCCTGTATTTTATCAATAAATACTAGATCCAAATTGGTGATCTTCTCATTTTCAAGCCCCTCGTTACACTCAGAATATAGCTAGTGTAACAGATCACATATGGAAAAGAAAGAAATTGGCTCCTTTACTTAAGCAAATTTTAGTATACAAGTACTTTGAGCAATGCAGCTGTGGACCAGGACTAAGTTAATATGCCTTTTAAGAAGCATGGTTTCCTTAAAGTTTAATATCCAAAAGCTAGCTCCACAGTATTATAGTTTGAATTTCCAAAAGCATGGACGTTGAGTTTGGCTTGCGAATAAAGCCTTAGGAATCGAATAACTTTTTATTTACATCAAATGAGTGACAGAATCTAATGATTCAGACACCTGAATTGTGAAAAGTCAAAATATTTGCATATTGATTGGGTCATACAAGATCATTTTATGGGAAATGCAATGTGAGCAATTATTTCCCATTTTTTTAATGTAAAAATGTAATTCATTTTAGGCGGAAGGGACACTATGGCTACATGGTGGCAACAGTTTAGTGAACAGATCCACAAATGTCTGTCAATAAAAACGAACAACTTCGCAAATGTCCATCAATGGGACAGTTTCGCATATGCAGATAGATAGATACATACATAGATAGATAGACAGAATGAGTAACATTCAGCCATCAAAAGAAAGGGGATTCTGATACATGCCATGACATGGATAAACCTTGAAGACATTATATGTGAAATAAGCCAAATACAAAAGGACAAATATCACATGATTTCACTTATATATGTAAGATAAGGTATATTCTAGATAGGTACCTAGAATAGTTAAAGGTACCTAGAATAGTTAAATTCGTAAAGACAGAAAGTAACATGGTGGTTGCCAGCGGCTAGGGGGATAGGAGAAATGAAAAGTTGTTTATTGATGTGAGTTTTTTTTTTTTAATTGTTTTATTTATTTATTTATTTTTTAAGACAGAGTCTCGTTCTGTTGCCAGGCTGGAGTGCAATGGTGCGATTTTGGCTTACTGCAAACTCCACTTCCTGGGGAGGAGCAATTGCTCCAGGAGCAGTTCTCCTGCCTCAGCCTCCTGAGTAGCTGGGACTACAGGTGCCACTATGCCTGGCTATTTTATCTTTTTAATTTTTTTTATTTTTAGTAGAGATGGGGTTTCACCATGTTGGCCAGGATGGTCTCGATCCCCTGATCTCATGATCCACCCTCCTCGGCCTCCCAAAGTGCTGGGATTACAGGTGTGAGCCACCTCACTCAGCCGAGTTTTTATTTTTTGCACAACATAATGTATATATTTAACATCACCAAATTGTACACTTAAAGAAGGTTATGATGGTAACCTGTATGTGTATTTTACCACAATTGAAAAATGAAAAAAAAAAAACAAACAAACAAACAAAAGAAAACCCAACTTCTTGATTTTTTTCTTCTCTAAAGCTGTCTAAAAGTATTATTAACTCATCCACTAAAAATTATTTGGCTGGATAAATACATTAGATTACTCAATTAGTTAGAAAATTAATAGGACATTTTGAAAACAGGAACTATTCTATCTCTTCTTATTGGACATTTACCTCATCCTTCCCTTGGTTGTTGGATTTATCTCGTCTCGGCTTCAATAACTACAAACATGTTGCTTTAATAATTTGATTACGGATAGAGAAAAAGGGTTTATTTTCTTACTTGCCCATCATTTTGACAAATTAAAGTAGTAAGGGAGGTGTGTGGATAGTGTGGATAAGGATTTCTGACAGCACTGGGGAAAACAAATGTGACTAGCTATCTTAGTAGGAGCTGCACAAAATGCAGTTTGCTTTTGTGTTTCTTTTGTATTTCCTTATTTTACTTACATGTGTTGTTCTTGCTATACAAAGTCAGAAGAATATTTAACTTCTAAATGGGGTACAGAAATAAATGAGAAAAGTCAGACTCCAAATATAACCATTTAGAGCAATGATAAAATGATATTTAAATTAATGAATAAGTCATTTATTGTAATTGTTATAGATCAATATGCTACTCCCTTAAACAATGTCTTTAACATGATGTTAATGACTCCCTTTTAGTAAGTTGTTCTCCAGATAATTCTCACCTGATATTTTTCTCCAAGAGACAATTTTAGTACCCAGGAAGAAGCCTACATTTTGACACTTTTGCAGCCATAAGACTGGGCAGTTTTTTGGCTAACGCCATAATTTTAAGAAGTGGTTTTGCTTTTGTAAAAGTAACCTGGATTCTTCAGACAGCTGACAACTTTTGGTTTCTTGTGTAAAGTATTTAGGGAAGAAATGTGAAATGTTCAGTATAAAATATCTCAGTTCATATGATGAGGTGCTACTGGTTTAAGTAAAGTGGAGAATAAAATAGAGTCAGTGATTTACTCCGTTTACTCATTCATCCCATTCATTTATTCACTGGGCAGATATGAACCAAGGATTTACTATATCAGGTAGTATTTTGAATTTGATTTTGGTAGATGAGCAGTCAGGGATGCCTTTTGAATGGAGATACTGTGAAGCTTTTGCCTCCCTGGTAGTTTTCTTTTTGGTATGAGTTATCTAGATAATTGGGTAAAACTTCATATTAGCTTTGCCTGTATATTGAAGCAGATAGTCTGAGTCCTAACACTGAAATGATACTCCAGAACATTGAGAAGGAAGAAAGCAATGTTATCAATGCTTAAATGCCACAACATCCTGCCCACAAGAGGCTCTTGGCCATAGCTTACATTTTTCTGTCTCATTGCACACTCATGGGGATATTCTCAAGCCCTCTCCATGTGCGCTCTGCCTGAGTGCCAAACTCGCTGCTGGTCACTGATGTGATCCCACAGCCAGCAGCCTGGTTATCCTCCCCTTCATTTGAGCAGAAGAAGCTCTTCACCTTTTAGAACCCAATATTCACTCCCAGCTTTCCTACTTAAAAATTCCTTTATTATCCTTCCCATATTTTCTCTAAACAAACTTTCTCAGAATGCTGTTAAAATTCCAAAAGCGATGACAAAAACTATTGGTACAGGAAGGAGACAGAGCAAGGATATGTCCAGTGGGAGAAAAGTCAAACCATTGCATGGCCAATAAACAAAGGTGAGCGCTGGGAAGCCAACTGACCTGCTATGTGGTATGAATGAAAGAAACAAACCACTGTATTCCAGAAACAGGAAATAATGTCCGTTAAGAAAAACTGTTTCCCATTCTGTTCCATCAGTAATAAAATGTCATCACGTGAGTTGTGATCAGTCTGTAAGTCTATCCACATGATACTTCAGTTTTTTTGTTATCTCTTTTTCTTTTTGTCGGCCTGGTCTTTGCCTGGGAGGACTTTATGGTTCCACTGGGAGAGAAAGGGAGAAAAAGATCTTCTTGGTACTATTAAGCTTTTAAAGGACATTTACTTTTTTTCTTTTCCTACAGACCACAACCAATTGCTGTTCCTTCCCGTTGAAAGAAACCCAGGCTGTACCTGCTCTTTCATCTCCTGTGTGGAAAACATCTATCGGCTGGAAGCGCTAAGACTTCATTTTCAAGGATTTTAGTTGTAAGCTGTTCAAGGTATAAGCTAAAATTTCAGGCAGAAGTAATTTTAGTAGTTAAGTCTGATTTTTACTTCCACCCTCTGTCCTCCAAGGCTATATGGGAAGCTTTCTGTGAGTGGATAAGCTCTTTAGCTAAGATGTAAACTTATGTTCCCTGGTATCTGATAAAGGTTCCTGGAGACTGACACTTAAAAAAAAAAAAAAAAAAGAAAAAATGAAGAAAAAAAGAAAGTAAGTAAGAGAGGAAAAGAAGGAAAGGAGAAACTGAATCCAAAGGCTTACAAAGGGATTAGAAAACTGCACCCCAGATGGAAAATTTTATGGGCTCTGGAGAAAATGTATAAGTAGAATATCAGTATCATAAAATAACAGGAAATAGTGTAATCTACCTGATGGAGAAAATTGTCACTTTAAAAAACTATCCTCATTTCCTTCAAAATTGTTCTTGTTTTTGAGCCAATAAACTGCAACTAAGCTCACCATGGGTCTTTCTTCTGCCAAACTCCTACTTGCCAACAGAACCTCTGTGTGTTTACAATTGAAACTTTTCCATTCTATTTTTTTCTAATTAAAATAAAGCCACCCAGAGGCAGACAGAAATCATACAATACGGAAAGAAAATTGCTAATGATCTGGGTAAATTATGACCCAGAAGTTTAGAGGAAAATTAGAGTGCATATTAGAGCAAAGAACTCAAAACAAATTTGGGGTCAACCCAAAGAAATGTATAAGGGGGAAATCCTATGTTTTCCTTTAATAAGTAATAATAATAACACAGTTAGTTTTAACTATGTGCGTGGTAGAAGATAAATCAGCAGATGAATGCCTAAGGTACTTACTCTGGGGAAATGTGATAGTCGTGTAATTTTTGCTATTTTTTTTTTTCTCCCCCTTCAACTGCTACGATAGATTATATGACTTAGTAAACTATTGCTGAGCATATGAGGAAAAATTTGTTTGGTTGCTTAGACCAAGTATTATTAGGATTAATTTCCTGTTATCTATGCAGATTATTCTGACTGTGATAATTATGGCATTCCCAAAGGTAATGGTTTGAATTGATTTCATAATCCATGGTCTAAACACACACACGCATACAAACACATACACACACACACATGCACCCGATTCAACAACATGAAGGTTGGCCAGGCCTTGTGCTAAGTGCAGTGGAGAATAGGAAAAAGATGAAATAGAATTCAAAAATATAAATACAAATGCAAAAAGTAATTCAAGGTAGAAAGTGATAAACGTCGGCCGGGTGTGGTAGCTCACGCCTGTAATTCCAGCACTTTGGGAGGCCAAGGTGGGCAGATCACGAGATCAGGAGATCGGGACCATCCTGGCTAACACAGTGAAAACCCATCTCTACTAAAAATACAAAAAAGTAGCCGGGCGTGGTGGCAGACACCTGTAGTCCCAGCTACTCAGGAGGCTCAGGCAGGAGAAAGGTGTGAACCCAGGAGGTGGAGCTTGCAGTGAGCCAAGATCACACCGCTGCACTCCAGCCTGGGTGACAGAGCGAGACTCTCTCTCAAAAAAAAAAAAAAAAGAAAAAAGAAAAAAGAAAAAAAAGGAAATGACAAATGTCACAGATATGGGCAGATAAAATATTATGAGAGTTTGAAGGATGGAGGGATGATTTAGACGCGATGAGGTCCAATAGAGTCTTCTTAAAGAAATAGTATTTACAATGCACCATTAAGATTTGACAGGATTGAGACATGATCTTGAATAGTTTTGCATAAATTTTCAATAGAACACTGCACATTTATTGACACATTTGCTCATTTAATAAATGTTTATGCTACTGCAGGTATTCTAGGTTCTGGGGGTGGAGCATAGAAACAAAGAGTCAAATATTCTCCATCAAGTTGATATTTTGTTAGGGTGGAGTGGTGGTATTTGAACATTTTATTTTCTTCAAACATTTGTTGACTTTAAACTACTGGTATTTGCTGCAAATGGAGCAAGGTTGTTTTTCCAACTAATCAGTTTGAACTTCTTAGAAGATTTTAGAGTAGGTGTCAGGGAAAATGCTGAGATAAAGTTCAAATATGCACAAATAAAACTTCAAGCAAAAATTATAGAAGTACTTAAATTTCCTAAATAAACAATAAGAAAAAAGCACATGGATTGTGTACAGTCTGTCAATAAATTGAGGAGAAATGAAGATGATAGTGGTCAAGAACCCTTTAGCTTCCACCAGAGGTAAAGAACAAGAATTAAAGCAATAGGAATGAAATGACTTGCATCACTTGTAGTACTTGATGCAAGGCAGAAGAAATATGAAGTGTATGGGGTTAGATTAGGAAGTAGAAGGTTAGATTTAGAAGAAAAATTATCCTAGTGGCCACTTGAGAATGTGCGAATTAGTCTCTTGATGCATTGCAAGTAACTTTCAAGTTTTTTGTCTTACACAACCCTTGAATCCACACAGGAAGATCAACTATGGAAGAAAAGATAAATAGCAACAGTATCTTATATAATCTGCAGAGCTAGGACGGGTCCATAAATACACCAAGAATAGACTAATCCCCCTTACCAGAAAATGGCTAAACATTTGCTCATTTGAGGTTGTGTAACCACTAACAAATGGTTTGTCGGTATTTAAGTTATTTTTGCTTTAATATATAAATATGCAGACAAGATTTCAAAGAATAATTAGTTTTCTTTCTTTTCTTTAACAATTTCTTTAAAATCAAAGTTGAAGAAGGATCACTGGATATTCTCAACTCCAGCTGTTATATTCTGGATCTTTTAGTAAACAGAGCCTGAGGCAATGATTTTTTGTTGCTTACATCAACAAGTTACTTTGGAGGTGCAAGCATAGGACAATAGGAGTGAGGGAGAATGGCACACTGAGAAAAAGGAAAGATGAGAATCAATGTGATGTGATGGATAACTTTAGCGACCACTGCTTCACAACAAGTTGCAAACATATATAGCAGGTCACTCAAAATGTATGTACACTCATCTCATGGAGAAGACATTTCTGGTAGGTTTGCAAGGAGAATACCTCAGAGCAGTTCATGGAGAGGGTAATGGAGAGAGAAATTGTGAGCTGTGTTCCCTCCAGTCTCTTGTTTCCCATTGGTCAAGGTTCAATCTCTGGGGAGTTAATTTTCCTGAAGTTTTAGCTGCACCCTCTGCCTCCTTGCAGCCTCTCAGGAAGCCAGAGCCCATGCTCCACAATGTGGCATTCCAACCAAGTTTGGAAAGGGAGGAACAGCTTGGCATGCATGGGATACTGACAAAGAATGAATGAAGGAAACAGTGGAGCAACTGCAAAGACACACAAGGTTTGCACCCAATACACCAAACAAGGGATAGTAACGCAAACCCAACTCTATGAATTTGCTCCTTCTTTTTGCATCTCTTGGCACTTAGACTACATTTCACTTTAGTCTTAATTAGACCATTCCAGTGAAACACTATGTCTATTTTTTCCACTATATGAATTGTTTATGCATGTAGATAGACAGATATTTGTTTTTCTAATTAGATCTTCATGAGCTCTGCAGTGGCAAGAATGAAGTAGAATTTCTCTCTCTGTCTCCAGCACGCACCAGAGGTCTTGACATATAACATTCCTTCATGAAATATCAGAATGAACAGAAGGGTAGATGGAAAAAAAACAAAGAGCAGAGTTAGTTTGAATGACTGAAAAATATTCATTATTTCACTTATCTTCCTTTTCATCAAATGCATAAAAACCTCGACCAAGTCAGTATTTACTTGGCAATAAACCAGAGTTCCCATGGGGGGTGGGCAGGAAGTATAGAGGAAAAAGCAACATGCATTTGGAAAATTATCCAGGTAATTATGAGATACCCTTCTTTTCTCCACACAAATCACAACCAATGTAACCCACCAAACCACCCCCAAAAGATTTGGATTCATATCCTAGTAAAGAGAATAGAATATCCAAAGGCATCAAACCGAAGAAGTATAGCATTTTGGGAAAACAGATAAACTTCATTTTAAGAAAGTATATTATTTTGAGTTGCCTGGATTTTCGACAGTTTCTCTTCCTGAACTCTTAGTTACATTCCTCGAATGGACTGTCAGAACAAGACAGAAAAAGTCTGGGTGGCATCTAATTTTCTCTATCTCCTGAAATTTCTTTAGAGTGGGTGTGTGCACTTCCATTATTAGCCAAATGAAGAAGCTAGAGACAGTCTCCTTTCTGCCACATAATTTTAGAAAGAAAACATTCCTAAAAGGAACTATTAGCTCCCTAAATTGGAAATGGGAGTGGGAACACCATAAATGACTTCCCCAAAATACATGCTGCACTGATGCGGAGGTCAGGCTTACTCTTACATCACAGTCAAGCTGTGGGCTTTCCTCCCTGACCTGGTCAGTGTTTTCAGCTTTCTTGGGGTTATACATAGCCCAGAAACATGTTGCTACAAAACAGAACGGAAAACACCAGGCCCTGTTTAACTCGATTTCTCTGGATCAGGGTGGGTCACTGTTATCCTGAAATAGCATGTGAACACCACAGTTTTCTCAAACTCCTTCTACCATATTAAATTACTAAAATAAATAGCAGCTATATTTTATCTGCAGTATCAGCAAGATCATATAACACAACGTAGGCTGGTATCACTTAACAAGCTGAGTTAAAAAAAAAAACAAAACCCATGGCATAGTATTGGAAAGAGGTGCTAATGCATACCACTGCATGTCTAGCTCCTTACTGTATTATGATGAGTTAAAGCTTTAGATCTGACTAATTGACTCTGAATCCCTGGGCTCTGCAATGTGATGCCCTCGCTCATAAAACCAAACGTGAAGACTGATTTCTGCAGCTTAATGCAGCAAAGTGGGCTGCCCTATGGAATGATTATACTTTTCTGGGTTGGCATGAGAGGTGTTCAGTACAGTCTTTTCTTTAGAACTTGGAAAACGGTGAAAGAAATATAGGTGTTACTTTACTAAGTGAACCAAGAGTGGAAAGGAGAGGGAACATAGCTAAAGGAAAGATGCAAATGTTTCATAATTTTGATC